AATGTTGAAACATTTACGGTAAATGTGTTTTTATATTTAGCTCATAGGATGTCAGACTTGCCATTCATTCATGTGAAATTCTGACTTTTTGGGGGTTGGTTAAACTCGGCATATTATAAATGATTATCAAAACATACCTAGAAAAAATATAATGCAAATTGTGCATTGTTTTATATAGTTGGTTGCGATTGTAACTATGCAAATAGCACAATTATTATACTTGTGTAAGTTGTGTATTAATTGTGCCTGATTCTGTATTTTGCATAAGTCGTATGATGATTGCAATTATGTATTAATTGTAATCCTACAAATTGTGTATTGTTTGTGCAAGTAGAGTGTTAATTGTGCATGTTTTGTATGTGTATTTGTGGAATTGAGTATTTGTGTTCATTTTTAGGTTAGTGGTGTATTGATTATATTTTGTGCAAGTTGTGTATTAATTGTGCATATGTTATAATTGTATTTGTGTAAATTGTGCATTTGTGATATTTGCGTATTTACATATTTAGGCTAGTAATGTATTTTATGTATTTGTGCTGGATATGTATTTTGATTGCATTTATGCAAATTGTGTAATAATAATTATGAAAGATGCATAATATTTGTGCAAGTTGTGTATCAATTGCATATGTTGTGTGTTTGTATATGGACGAATTGTGTACTTACACCTGTTGTGTATTGATTGTCATTGCACGAGTTATGTACTTATATAGCAAGTCTGCTTGTATTAATTGTGCAATGTGTTTGATGATTTGTAATAATTACACAATTTGTGAAATAATTGTCCATGTTTTACAATCGTTTTGTGCGAACAGTGTATTTATGCAAGTTGTGTTTTTAATTTGCCGAAGTGGAACTGGTGCGACTGTATTTTTTTTGTGTGCGAATAGTGTATTTTGTGTAAGTTCTGTATATGTAATCGGAAAAAAAATAGATCTTCATGTGCAAGTGTGAAAGTGTATTTTGGTTTATGAGACAATGCGTGGGTATTTTGTGAAAATTATGTTTTGTGAAATTGTGTAATTTTAGTGAAAGTGCATTTTTGATTGTCTAAATGTATAAGCAATTTGCTGTATTTGTGCAAATACCATACTTTGTGTTGCATACTCTGAGTGTCCATGCAATATTTGTGTAAATGGTATATTTTTGTGTGCAACTGACATATTTTGAATGTAAATGACATATTTTTGTCAATAAATGACATATTTTTGTGCGTGAATGGTATATTTTGAGTGTAAATAATATTTTGTGCATAAATGACATATTTGGTGTGTAAATGTATTTTCTATGTAAATGGAATTTAGTGTGGAAATGTTTTGTGCTTAAAATGCTATATTGAGTATAAATGTGCATGTGTTTAATGATGGGATTACTGAAATCTTGTTCTTAAATACATTTTAGGGTTTCATATACAGTAGTATAAATTGCGGTGCGACATTTGGATAGCTATTTGATGGATGCGAGGACAGTTCACTGGCCTATGAACACAGCTACTAATCCGCTGTACTGCCAGATGTACTGTAACTAATTGCGAATTATAGTACGATATCTAGCTACAGTGTTTCATAATTGCTGATGTGTAAAAAAACAAGAATGTGAGCTATTTATTCTAAACTATTACTGCAAACTAGCAACGGGTGTGGGGTCCCTTGATTGTTTTAAGCGCTGGTAAGATATATATATAAATGAGATTGGGTGGATATATATATATATAGGAGCTGCTTCGGATGGGCCAATAGGCCTTCTGCAATTACCCTTATTCTTATGTTCAGCTTATCTGCTATGCTGCCAGATGTACGATTCTGTTTAAATTGCAGTACGACGTTTGGGCATCTATTTTAGTTTTTGAACTTAACACTGCATAATGAATGGTTATAGTTGTGGATGACTAAAATGTATATTCTTAAACCTCTGATTAGGTTAGGTTAGGTTGAGGATGGTTACCTGCTGCCAGATGTACGATTCTGCTAAAATTGCGATACGATATTTTGACGGCTATTTTAGTTTTTGAACCCATCATTGCATAATGATTACAGTTGTGGATGATTAAAATGCATATTCTTAAACCTCTGATTTGGTTAGGTGGGGATGGTTAGTTTAGCAATTTTTTTAACAATAACATTAAATAGACTACATATGCAAGTAACATGCCAAGACCGCATTGACCATCTGGGGATGTCACACCCGAAAGCACTTTTGAAAAGCCATGGTCGCTGTAACCAAAGCCGTCAAAGATTGAGGAAAGATGTACTCGTTCGTAAGTGCTTGCGGAAAGCCCTAACACCTATTTGTTAATGGGAGCTAATACCCTATCCCTATACTGAGGTCTCGTTTTGCGACGTCGCTAAACAACAACAGGGTGTCTGTAGAAACGTATTTTTGTTTTAGTTTTATAATAGGTTAGGTCAGGTTGGTTTGATAGGATTAAATTACATTAAATTAAATTAGCTACACAAAGCTTAAATTGCATTGAACAAATCACCAAGGGCTGTGATGAGGATTCGAACTTGCGTCCGGGAGCATCCCAGACTTAAATTGCATTCTTTAGAAAGGCGAATAAATAGGGGTGCCACGATAGAGGTGTTAGAAAATGGACACGACAAAGGGGGTTATTAATATGCAGGCTATGAGTCATAATAACATGGCTAAAGTATGTTGACCAGACCACACACTAGAAGGTGAAGGGACGACGACGTTTCGGTCCGTCCTTGGCCATTCTCTAGTCGATTGTGGTTATTAATATCAAGTCGACTGTGGGGGTTATTAATAGCCTATTAAAAGTATCAACACGAGACAGACCACGAAACAATGGGTTTTACATTGTTTGACAAGTTTTAGATTTAGGAAAAAGACCTGGGTAAATACTGGTTGGGCAACAGGGGTGAACGCTGAGATACATGTTACTCTATACTCTGTGTTGCTCCCCCTTGTTTCATACGAATAAGAAATAGTGGAATTCACTAATTTCTGTGCTCAATATATGATCCTTGGCTGGACGCTATAAATATAAGTTTAAAGATAAGTAAGGGGGAATAAATAGGACCTTCTGAATATTAATGGAGTTGCATTATCAATGTGTATAAATGGAGAAGAAAGGGGAGTATTAATAATTGGGAATAGACCTTGTGAAGTTCATCTGATAGCGACAGTTGATGTTTTGGTTAACATTGACTAGAAGTAATGAGGAGATTTAAAATAGATTAGGAATGATGTTATTGCACATTCGGTTTCAGGGTCTCCGAGGTAACGCAAAACACATAACTGACAGACCGGCTTTATAATCCCTTTGAGCAAAATGGCTGGACCTAGAAGACTAGCAATCATTCACAGGGTAACGTAAACGGACCAGGCCATAGACCGACTTTTTAATCCTCTTCAACGTGCCTGTGCAGGGTCACTGAGCGGCTAGCTGGTGACGTCATTGACCATTAGCGATGCCTGTGCAAGGGTCACTGGGGTAACGAAATTCGACTATGACAGGGACCGGCCTTTTAATCCCCTCGAACAAAATAGCGGGACCTAGGAGGCCACCTTTTCATCTCACATTTCGGAAAATTACATATGCTTGAACGGAGAGGACGATAAATGAATAAAAATATTAGGAGACTATGAGGTACTAATGAATAACAAATTAAAAAATACCCTGGGCTAGATTCAACCGTCGGAAAAATTTAAAACACCCCTGTTGCTATGACTGTGCACCCGGATAAAAATGGAGAACTCCCCCTGACTCCAATGACCGTGCGTGGAGAAAAAATGGCTACACCCTGACCCCAATGACCGTACATGGGAAAAAGCAAAATGCACGGTCATTGGGGACATTTCAACTACTGACGACAACATGTGCATCATTATCATAGTTTCCCAGACCTTATCTCCTGCAATAACAACAATATCACCACGAGGGCTGACAAATTTCCCGACAGTTACTCAATTGTACCGTACTCTTGTTCTCAATAATGGTATTGAAACCAGAAGCGTCTCTGGCCTAGATAGTCACAGCACCCCGGAAAAAACACTTGAAAACAACTTAACAAGATAAATATAATAACTAGCTGGAACTAAAAAAAAATTGTTAGTTGGCGATTAAGCAACAGCAAGACAATCTGACCAGGGGGGTGAGATTGTCTTGCAAATACTGTATACAACCCCTTTGAGTGGGGTTGTATCCAATATTTAGTTGTTTACAAATGCTGCCTTGATTGACTGCGGGGGAAGTGAGGTAATTATGAGAAAGTGCTAAGGCAGTATGACAATATAGCACATGGAAGGGATATGGGGACATGAAGTAGGGATAAGAAGGAGGGAAGGCATGGTGTTCAACCATTCATCAAACGCTGACCTGTAATAATCAAGGCCATTGCTGAATCGACTGTGTGGAGTAAAACTGGAATGAAAGGACTTACAATGGCTAAGGATCGATTTTGAAATTATTATTGGCATCGACAACAGCGATGAAAAAATACGCATTACTTTGGAAAGTTGTGATAATTTTTTGCTATTCAAAAAAAGTTATTTTTTTTTAATATAAGTGATTGAAAAATCACTTATATTAAAAATTAAAAGTCAAGAACGAAAAAATAGTGTAATCTCTCATTTCGTTTCTTAATTGTGATTTCGACGAGAAGAATTTCATTAGCAAAAAATATGGACCATAATTTATGTACAACATATATTTTATATATATGTTTCTCAATCACAATATGTATTTTCTTATAGGAGGCAGAGCTGGCAAGTGGGTAAACTGAAAGTCTGAGGAAAGTATATTGAGGAGTTCTGGTCAAGCAGTACAAATGAATTAAGAGAGTAACTTATGGATTTGTTAATATAAGATAAGAAGTACATATGGTTAATGAATTGATATTTTGTATTGCGTAACTTTATTAAACAATTAGATAAAATAATGATTTCCTTGACCTTAATAGGTTCCTCATCTGTGTTTTAACTGAGTCACTGTGAAAAGGGTTGAAGTATAAGTGATGGGTGCAGTAGACCCCGCCGCCCACAGCAAGCTTCTACTAATCATCACAGCCCACTTGCTCCCAGTGCATCATATTTGTTCTTACCAAAGCCCTCCTGCACTCTCGACCAAACCACTCATATTCCTATCACGACACATCTACACTCACCACAAAGCCCACCTGCACCACAGGCACAACAGGAGCCATAGCTAGACAAAAGGGTCAACTGCACCACCAGAGCGTTCACCGTCTTCAACATGAAAAAACTACTGTTAGTGTCGCTAACGGTAAGAATATTTACAAGTGAAAACTTTAAATTAAACAGTCTTGTTACTGGTATTTTTGGCGTTCAAACTGTGGATACATCTGTATACACGAACGCTTGTCGCTATCATTCTGTGAATCAGTATATCTTTTTAACATGTCCAATTAAAGACAGTTTATCAATGTCATTCAGAATTACCTGCATTTAATTTAAATGCTGCTAATTCTGAATGACATTAATTCATTCAGAATTAATTACATTTTTTTCAAATTATATTTAATCATTTGGTTTAATTCCTTCGTGCATATTTAAATGCGAAGTAATTCAAGCAAAACACCAGTAGGATTAAAGAGGCTCTGTGTTAAACAGTGATTCCCAAAGGGGAAGCACTTGGCTCCCCAGGGAGTATTTATAATCTAGGTGGATGGCTTTTAACCAGGGAGGAATTGCGGAGAAATGTAAGTCAGGGAAGGAACTGCGAAATAATGTACTCTGATGAAACCTTGGGCCACAAGGGAAGGATAGCATTGTGATATCCAAACCTGGATACCACAATGCTATCTAGGACTTTGACAGCCAAAGGTTAGAAATAAAGCTTAACGAAATAGCAAAATGCATTTCACAGAATTTAACAAACTATTTTTTCAAGTTCTTTCAAAACGACTTTACAATGATACCGTCAGAGGTTTCAACACACCCCGTCCTTGTGGTATCAAGGGAAGCTGGAGCATATGGTTGGAGAACTACTTTACCCACCCCAGAGTGTATGGGGGTTATGTGTAAAACTAGGACTGGCTGTAGTAGAAGCCTCCACACTTTCAGTGGATTCAGTGTAATCCCAGGTTGCATAACTTATAACATGTCGTGGTACTGGGATAAGGTGCACGCCTGGGAGTACAATGATCGTTGGTTTGAATCACCGCCATGCTCCAATTGATTTTCTTCTTCTTTTTCTTCTTCTTCTTCTTCTTCTTCTTCTTCTTCTTCTTCTTCTTCTTCTTCTTCTTAATAATCTAATCTTAATAATAATAATAATCTAATAATAATAATAATAATTATTATTATTCTTTATTATTATTATTCTTATTCTTATTATTATTAGTAGTAGTAGTAGTAGTAGTAGTAGTAGTATAATAGTATAGTATAATAATAATAGTAGTAGTACTAGTAGTAGTAGTAGTATTAGTAGTAGTAGTAGTAGTAGTATTATTATTATAGTAGTAGTAGTAGTAGTAGTAGTATTAGTAGTAGTAGTAGTAGTAGTAGTAGTAGTAGTAGTAGTAGTAGTAGTAGTAGTAGTAGTAGTAGTAGTACTAGTAGTAGTAGTAGTAGTAGTAGTAGTAGTAATAATAGCGATGGTAGTGGTAGTGGTGGTGGAAGTCGTAGTAGTAGAAAACCTAGTAATTGTTGTTTAACAAATAATAGTTATAAAACTAGCAGATGTAGAGTTTTATGCTTTTTATCGATTCTATTAGTTATCATTATAACTATCTTGTAATCTCAAACATTATTACAAATTATTAAAAAAATATATGATTTTATATTTGGTCAATCCATTTTAAATATGTGAAAAATTCAGGGACAACACTGACAACTATAACAACACTGACAACTATAACAACACTGACAACTATAACAACACTGACAACTATAACAACACTGACAACTATAACAACACTGACATTATAACAACACTGACAACTATAACAACACTGACAACTATAACAACACTGACAACTATAACAACACTGACAACTACAACAACACTGACAACTATAGCAACACTGACAACTATAACAACACTGACAACTATAACAACACTGACAACTATAACAACACTGACAACTATAACAACACTGACATTATAACAACACTGTTAACTATAACAACACTAATATAACAACACTGACAACTATAACAACACTGTTAACTATAACAACACTGACAACTATAACAACACTGACATTATAACAACACTGTTAACTATAACAACACTGACAACGATTATAACCCTGACAACGGTAATACTGACAACTATAACAACGTTGACCACTATGACAACACTGACAACCATAACACTAGCAACTATATCACTAACAACTATAACAATACCAACAATTATAACAATGATAATTATAACATTGACCACTATAACAACACTGATAACGATAATAACACTGACAACTATGACAACGTTGACAACTATAATAACGTTGACAACTATGACAGCACCGACAACTATAACACAAACAACTACAACAACACTGACAACTATACCACTAACAACTATAACAATACCAACAATTATAACAATGATAATTATAATATTGACAACTATAACAACACTGACAACTATAACTTCACTGACAATAACAATACTGATAACGTTAAGATTATAACTGACAGCTATACCACTGACAACTATAACAACACTGACAACATTAATATGGTGGATCTCTGCTGCAGGTGGCGTGGGTGGCAGCGCTGCTCTGCGTCCCCGGAGTCCTCGCCGAGGTTAACGGTAACGCAAACTCTACCGACTTGGACTCTCGGGATAAAACAGCGGATCCTTTCGACTGTACTCGTTATTACATATGTATAAGCTCCAATGAAACCTCAACCGATTCTTTCCCTTGTCCGACTGGAACATCCTTCAACAGTTCAACCCATGACTGTAGTGGTTCCCTGCCATGTTCAAGCAATGGCCCGCTACCCCCGTGTCCTACAACATGCAGGAGCGACCCGGGCGCGTTCCCTGACACAAAGAAATGTAACCTCTATTATGTTTGCTCGGGCGGCAGTACTCTGGGACCCTTTGAATGTCCCGCTGACAAACCTTATTTTGACAGCGCCGCCCAAACCTGCAGTGTAAGCCTCTCCATGTGTTGCCTACTGCCGGTACGGGGTGGTGCTGACCTAAGGCCCCTTCGATTGTCACAAATTCTACTTCTGCCTCGATAATGGACCAGTCGATCCCCTGTATCACGGTAGTTGTCCTTCGGGAGCCAACTTTGATGTTTCTACGCATAAATGTGTAGTCGGCGCTGTTTGCAACACACTGTGTGATGTAACCCCGGCTCCCGGGACTGACACGACTCCAGAGGGTACTTCCACCCCCAACAACAA